GGGGCATTATTATTTTCACAGCTTTCAATTTATCACTCATTCATTCCTGGGGACATCCAACAGCTTGGAGGAGAGAGTGACAGAACAAGAGAGGGAGATGAGAGGAGCACAAGAGCGTGGGAGGCGAGACAAAGACAAAAATCAAAGATAAAAAGGAAAGAAGATGGTTGGTGATGGATGATTTTCACACCATCCAAATCCCAGAAAAACAGAAAAACAGAAAAACACAGTGACCTGCATGCACCCAGAATCACACAACGGCTCTCCTTTGGCTCCTCACCACCATTAAAATCTGGCACTAGAAGTAGACAGCAGCTGCTACATGTGCCACACTTTACACATGTACTCAGTGTGTTAGATAGCTGCCAAAATTGTTGCAAAATACGGCCTTGCACACCCACACAAACTCACAGTTCAAGTCATAAATTGCCTATACTTGTCACTGCAGTATGTGCACAGAAGAGACAGAACTCTAATATAATCAAATGATCATGTACATGCACCCAGAAACCTATTATTACTGCAAGGTCATTGGATTGACACAAATCTGCGGAAAAATATGAATAAAAGTTGTGATCCGTCACTTCCTTGCAAATGTATTACAATGTTGAATGAAATGGTAACGCATATAGAGGGGAAGCATTTCTTTTTACAGTGGATAGAACTGCTGAAAAATACACAACAAACTTCATTCAAACTTTAAACACTTTTTTACATTTTAAATCATCTAAATACCCAATTTGCATTTAAATTAGAAGGAAATCAACAATGCAGAAATCAACAATCAGAGTGGTGCACAGTAAACAACTTACTGCTCAATGTCAGCAAAACCGAGGAGCTGATTGTTGATTTTTAGGAAAACGGAGGAAAAGACACACCCCCCGTTTACATCAGTGAAGCAGAGGTGGAGCAGGTAAACTGTTTTAGGTTAGGTAAATCTGTCATGGTCATCTTGCATCTCCAGCCTGGTTGAGAAAGCACAGGAACAACTGTTCTTGGCACAGGAATAAATGAGGAATGAGTAGCACAAAGGGAACTACAAACGTAATGTCATTATACAACCATGCCATGTGTATGACAATTACATAACCTTGAATCCATGAATCCTAAATTATGTTAAATTCACTATCATAATCACATCTCAGGGAAAACACGGGCTATGGTATAGCTATATATGTGTACATATATATACATAAATATCTCTACCAGGGCGCCCCGCACTGAACTGGTTTAACTGAGAAATGTTACGAAAAGTTTAGGTTCTCTGGTGGATAGATTCATTACCGTTGTTACCCTGATCATTCACACAGAAGTGCACAGGCACAGGGATGTAATTGCCAATTTTGAAAGGGAACTGATTGTAAATTATACAACTTTGGGATCAAAAGGCAAGTAATGAATATCTTATTACTTTTTTGTCAGAAATAAGCCTGACACTGATTGTGTGAGGGTAAGGAGTGCACCTCATATTACAGCTTATTGTCTAATACAGCGGAACATATTAGAGGATAAGCTGCTGATTATGCTGCAGATAAGATGAGAAACTACAGAAGTTTGCACCTGAAGGTTTGGTACTGGATCTTCTGAATGACTCATTTGTTGGTATGCAAGATACTCGAAATGTCAAAATATTTCCGTATTTTCTGCATTCTAATGAAAAAAAAAATAAATAAGAAGACCTAACTCAGTATTTCAGTTACTTTTCATTTTTTTTCCTTTGTGTTGTTACCTCATCCCCTCTCCCTCCCCCTCTCAGTAAGGCAGCGTAGTGCCGATGAAGTGTCACAGGAGCTGAAAGTATTGCACTGTGCACATTTCCCAGGCCAGCTCCAGACCTTCTGTCAGACGACAAACTTCTCAGCTATTTGTCCTCATTACAGAACAGCCTCCGACTGCCCACCTTAATTCCCCCGCCCGTCCCTCAGGGGGCTCTTTTCCAACCCCTGCTTGGCATGAGTCATTTTTACGACCGCCACTTTAGCCCCCATCGGCCCGGGCCGCCTATGCTTTAAACCCAGCTAGGCGAGTAAATCTGCCAGCTTTAATTAAAATAGCTTCTTTTGTAGCGCTTTCTCTCCCTCCGTCCTCTTGTCCCCGATGACATAACGGTGCTGGGAACTTCCCTCTGCAGCACTGACTTAAAAGGACTGACCCCTTAGAAAAAAATTGATGTGTTGCACTATTTTCTGATGAGTTGGCAAGAAATAAGTCACATCTCATCCTATCTCCTCATCTACTGGCTCTGACCTGGTTTCCTGAGTCAAAAGATAATTATGAAGGTCACAAGTAGAGGTTCCCCTGATAAGATTCATCCACACTAAATCATTACAAAATATGCAACAGAAATCAATGAGCGAAAAAAGTAGAATAAGTGTCTTAGAGTGTGGAGTGACACACACTACGCAACCATGCAACCTTGCTTTCAAGGTCAGCCTTTCTTGGAGGAATAACGATTTGTGAAGCTGAATCAATGAGGCTCATTCAAGCCGTTTTCCTACAATATTGTTCAGGGACTAACTTTGGTGCCATTGATTAGCTAGCTGATTTATAG